TCTAGTCATGGGTCGCGGAAGGCATTGTACCGTCGAATAAAGAAATTTGATTAAAAACATGGTCTCTGAAGGTAAAACCTACGCTAAAATTGATCGAATTTTCGGTTGTTCAAACAAAATGATCCGCAAAGCACTGCTGTTTGTCGAAAAGAACGAAACACGTGGAAGAAAGCCCTCAATGTCCAACGTGGAGATCAAGCACTTGGTTCGGCAAAGCAAGAAGGAGCCTTTTAAGCCGGCAACGGAATTGAAGAAGGAGCTTCAGATAGCTGAAAGCGTGAAAACAGTATGCAAACGCTTAAGACAAAACAACTTTAATGCGTGGAGTCCCAGAAAAGTCCCGCTTTTGACTGTGAAGCATGTGGCAAAGCGAATGGAATATGCTAAGATACACAAGGATTGGCCTGTGGAGAAGTGGCGCAACATTTTGTGGTCAGATGAGAGCAAAATTGTGTTGTTTGGTGGAAAAGGCTCTCGGTCTTATGTTCGGCGTCCACCACGACCTGAATATAATCCTCGCTTCACCTCTAAGACGGTAAAGAACGGAGGATCAAACATAATGGTATGGGCGTGCTTTTCATACTATGGAGTAGGTCCGATCCATTGGATTCAAAGCATCATGGATCAGCATATTTACACAGATATCCTGGAAAATGTGATGCTGCCATATGCCGAGGATGAAATGCCGTTAGTTTGGACATTTCAATAAGGTAACGACCCAAAACACACGAGCAAGAAAGCTCGAAAGTGGTTTGAGCAGAAATCGATCAGAGTAATTAAATGGTCTGCTCAGTCACCCGACTTGAATCCAATCGAAAACCTTTGGGCGACGTGAAAAAAAAGGTTTCTGAAGCCAAACCCAATAATATCGAGGAACTTTGGGATGTGCTCAAGGATGCATGGAGCAAAATTCCTCAAAAACGGTGCCAGGACTTGGTGGACTCCATGCCAGGACGATGCGCAGCTGTCATCGCCAACAAAGGTCACGCAACCAAATATTAAGATTCTTTAAACATAGTTCTTAAGATATAATCCATTTGTTGAATTATTTTTTTATTTTTTTGCTTAGTTTTAGAAAACTACGAAAAAAAGTGCTATTTTTGTTATCGCCTAAATTTGAAGGTTTTCTTTTTGTTTTGCCAATTATTTTCAAAATATCCATTAGATCTGTTACTAATTTTGTTATTTCGATTGAAAATCATTGTAGAATTTAAGTTTAGTGAGTAAAATGATGAAAAAGTGTCAGAAAATACAGAAACGCTGGGACAAACACGAAATGTGCTTATGGTGCTATTAATGTCTCCGCAACTGTATATTTTATTGGACGACAATTATTGATTGGGGCCAAAATCACGCGCTCTTATCGTCAGATAAGCCGAATATTCAGTTCAAAATCAAGTCTGGCCAATATCAAGTTCGGCCAACTTGGACAAATCCGCCAGCAAAGACGGAACTCAGTGTAAACAAGTTTCCATCGGAGCCGGCCAAGCTAATGAAATGTTGCAGCTTGCACAATATTGCCCATAATAATAAATCCTCCAGCAGCAATGTGCACCATCCATCCACGGCTCCACAGCTGCTCCCCTTCCCCTTTCTCCTCAAATGATGGATTGTGGCAATGAACTTGACATTAATAGGGTTTCCTCTAACTGCCGCCTTGCGTGACCGACCCCGTCCCCTTTTCTCCTTTTCTACATTTACCATATGCCTTCTATGCCACATAAACTGACCCACCTGATGGACAAGAACATCCCCCGAGAGGAGAAGCACACATGTTCTCATGCCTTCCATGTTGGGACAAGTCAATCTCAATCTTCGCCAGAGTGCGAATCGTGGTCAGTGCACAAAGAATTTTTAATTGTGCAGGAGAGATGAACAAAGTTGCACTGGGAAAAATGGCTTTCAAACGATAATTGCATATTCAGATAGATTAAACAAAACTCCTGTTTTAGGTGGGGGTTTACTAATATTTTTGGTTCTTCAGGAATTGATGTACTACCGTCGGAACAGAATTTGGTTATTAATTTTTCAGTGCAGTGACTGTTTCCAACCAATAGAGATAGCAAAGCCTAACCATAAAGACTAAAAATGCCACGTCCGTAGATGGCAGGGCTTTCTATAGAAAAAAGAATACAAGCCACAGGCAAACGGAACTCGTGCCTTAAGCCTCCACTTGACAACGGTCGATATCCGGCTCAGCAAACGAAATGAAATGAAATGTCAACTGCAAATTGAATCAACTTGGGCATAGAATGACCCAAAAAAGGGGCATCCCATAGGCGCAAAAAGGATAACAACCTCAATCCCCAAAAAGAGGTGACCAAAAGCTTGATGTAAATTAAGAACTTGGTGAAAAGTAGAAGGGAAAACCATCTAACAAGTGTTTTGATTATAAAATGTAATGCCTAGAACTAATAAAGAAACAGCCAAATGGGATGCAATCTCAGTCCATGAAAGACGCCCATAATCCCAAGTAATTACCAAATAAAAAGCTTCATAAATAATACAGACCAAAACTTGTAATTAACCAAACTCGATTAACGCGATTTTAAGATTATAAAGTAAGCAAATTAAAAACTCGTAATAACGACAGTGGCAACTAGATGCCATGACCATGACCAATGCTCTTGGGGCTTGTGATCTCCCCCAGAAGTACACCTGCTCCCCCTTTTGCCCATCCTCTTGACGTTTTTGATAAATGACGACGAGTGCGTGGCAGACATCTGGTCGCCAAGCTGCTCGCTCTTAACCCCTTTCACCCGTCGCCAGATGAAAGCGAATGACTGGAAACGAAAATAAATAAATGGCAATGGAATAAAATAAAAAAAAGCGTGGAACGGAACGACGAAACTAAGATCGTTCCGAGGGTCGAAGCTCCCAAACTCCCCCCTTCTTGGCAAGTGAGAGCGTGACAATGTCAACAGAGTGAAAAAGTACAAAGTACATCATGAATAAGCACACAAAACCAGTTAAAGCGTGGCCGAATGGGATTTAGCGCTCTGGCCCTATGAAAGCAAAAGTTGAACAATCCATAAAAAGTAAAAACAATAATTATTGCAACCTCGATGTTGTCTTCTTCGCATTAAATGTGACAAAGATCATTTGCCATTTCCTACAAGTGTCGTGTAATGCACGATTGCTGAGATAGCAAAAACAGTTGAGGGTTTCTATCTGTAGGTAGAGATATTGGAAGTATTCTTCACCAATGCGGAAAGTATAATTTGGCTAATGGAGGTTTCGACTACGCTGCTATCAAGGTGTAGATGAAAGTTGTATTGTAGGCTGATATGAGAATAGAAAACGTATACGATTTTTTGTCTGGACAACTAAGCTCAATGAGAAAGCACACCTGGCTGTAAATATTTTGGTAGCACCTGGAAATATTAAGTTTCCCTCAATTAATTTTGTTGATCAATGAAATCTATACCTGCATATAGTCGTTTATACATTTCTAGTTAAACACATGAACATAACTTACTCAGAAAAACCATTCATTTTATATACCAAGTCCCTTACATTTAGTTAGTTATGATAGCTGGTTTTAAACACGACAACCGTTTAACACTTTTCATTTCTATTACTATTGTAATCGAAAGCGACTTTAAAAATTGCAAACATGGGGCTTCTAAGCCACAAATGACATTACGATTCCATCCTGTAACCCCAATTTCCGTTGGCAAACAAATATTTACACAAATCTCCTGTGGTAATCGCTTTCGTCTGCAAGTTCAAACAGCTCCATTTCACACCCACCCACAGAACTGAAACCATTTTGGCACCCCATTCAAAGTTCAGCATTTGGCGACTTTGAACTTTTAAGGTTTTGCACACACCGGACAGAATATTTCATAATATTTAAAAGGCAGGGAGAATGGAGACGAAATTTTCCATTTACTTGCAATGCAGTTTGCGTTTTTTTCCATATTTTTTTTTTCATTCTCCCCACTAAACAAAACAAACACACGGCTGGGAATATATGGAAAGTAAATGCAACAAATCCGCTTAGAGTGCAAAAAGGCAAAGCTATAGCAATTGCCAAGCTGGCTGGAGAGTAAACTACTCAGTCAGTCACCCACAATTTCCACATTTTCCCCCCAATGTCTGCTGTTTTCCCACTCGAGTCAAGTGCAGTCAAACATTTGAGACGCAAAACGGAAAAAAAAATGGAAAATTTCTGCATTTCCAAGCCCCGCAAAGTGGGTAATTTACGTGTGGCCCAGCCCGACTTGTGCAATCCTCGTGACAGTCACGATGTCTAGAACTGAACTTGGATTGGGTTGGATTGGGTTGCCTGGTCGCTTATCAGCTGATTCACAGCAATTAAACCGCAATTTTCGCACAACACTTGCCTTATCTCCACCCCACAGAGGCACACTTTTAGTTATCAGGCTCTGCGCCATTCATTGATTAGTTTCGCATGAACTTTGTCCCATCATCACTTTTTATTTCAGACTGCGTAGGTGCATTTGTGCATTTAAATTTCATTGTTTGCATGCCTGAATGGTGTTTTTGTCTTTGACAAATTCGAACTTCTCTTGCGACTTAATTAATGCATATTTATCCGAGTGAGTCTGCCCATTTAAACTGTCACACAACTCGTCATTGTTTGTTTGCTTTTAATTGGATCCTGGCGTAATGCAAACATTAGCACTGGACTGATTGAATGTCTGGGCACTAAAAAATGCATATATGTACATATATATTTGTACATAATTCTACACAAAGGTTGGCTTCGAATGTGGAGCACTCTCATAACTGCTGAGTGGACATACATTTTTAATGGCCACTGCAGTGGGGCGCACACAAGTTCAAGGAACTTTAAAACGAATTGTTCCTGATTTAAATAAATTTTGGGCAAGCGGATGCACATTAAATAAATAAAGCGCTGCAAAGTGTTTTTCGTTTTTTTCCAAAAGTTGTAATTTCACAAACAGGCTAGGAAAATTTCATTTGCATTTGACACAGGAAATCAAGTGAGTATAAAATAAAATACACTAAAAGTACATTTAAGACATTTGCTCTTAAATACAGCAACACTGTCGCGATGAGCCTAATTCCTTGCTTGAGAGGGAGGAATCTTTTCCAGATGACGAGGCGTGGATTTGCCAGTGGAGGGGATTTAATTCGACTCATGGTCGCCGATCGCGAGGTCGTTGGCTATGGCATCAATGGGCGACCCATATACTTCGATAGCCCAGACTGCCCATTTCCGGCTATTCGATATCGGGAGGTTAACCCGGAGTTGTGCGCCCTTCGTGAAAAGGAGTTGGACGACTGGAAGAAGCTATCGCTGGATGAGAAGAAACAATTGTACCGCCATAGCTTCTGCCAAACCTATGCAGAATTCCAGCACTTTACGCCCGAATGGAAGCTGTGTCTGGGCGTCGCTTTGTGGGTTGTGGCACTCGGAATCGGCATATCGATATCTATGAAGACCTTGGTCTATAGGAAACTGCCGGATACGTTTGACGATGAGCACCAGTCGGCCCAATTGCGGCGCATTATCCAGCTGCAAATGAACCCCATTACTGGAATATCGTCCAAATGGTGCTACCACGAGAACAAGTGGAAGTAGCACCTCAACACGATGATTTGCCGAAAACTATGTACAGAAACGAAACTAGTAACACACAATCAAACATCATAATCGGTTGCCAACTGATACTAGAAGCCCCCAAATGTTGTAGCAAGTCCACTCTATATAACATCCCAAACATTTAAAATATAGCCAAACCTTGCAAACAACCTGTTGCCATTCGTTTAATCTCGAATGAGTATTTTTAAAATTACCCAAAACATATTCTAAATTAAAAAAGGAGCAGCTACAAACGCAAAACCTCTCTCAAACGTATTGATGAATCATTATCTCCAGCAATAAAATCAAATAAACAAATTCAATTGAGACCCACTTTATCTGAGTCTCCTTATCAAAGAAATTGACCCTGAAATCACCCTGCAATATCAAAAGCCCAAAGTCTAATTATACAGCCATCAGGACGAGCCCGAAAACTGAAAACTTTAACAAGATTTAAATGAGCGTGACAAGCCAATATGATTTATATTCTTTCTAAGCGTTTCCCTTTTAATAATAGTTTCTGTCACCAAGCCCTTATGAAATCCAATCAAATAATTCCCCACGCTCTTATCCCCTTTTAGTTATCCCAATTGCATCCGACTGACAATCCCAAATGCTCCAATTTGCATTCAGCCCGCAGCATTGGCTCAAAATAAGCTTCGATCCACAGAATCCCTTCTCGTCCATTTCAGCTTTTGATTCCTGTCACATCGCAGGTTTCGCAGGGTGTCTTCTGCTTGGGGCAGATTATTGATTTATGGCCACGCGTCGCCTGTCACTGTCAAGATAAAGTGCCACACTGATGTAGAAGTTGAAGTTGCAACTGAAACGCGCAGATGCACGGCGAAAAAATCAGGACTCGGATGTTTTTCAGCTAAAACTGTATTAAGAAAACCGCCGGGAGTGATACGAAACTTTTGATTCATATGTATTATACAAGGCCTTCCTATTACGTAAATTAAAAATGGAAATTTGCAAAGACATATACAAATTTCTTCCTCTGTGATGGATGGATGGATGTATTGCAGCTGGAGAATGCAGACTGAGACTGCAGTCTGTGGGCAGCAGGCGTGACAACTACAAATGCCAGAGGACGGTGGAGACAAAGCCAAGAAAGAAAGGCAGAATCAAAGTTGACTCAACCTTAAGTAGACACTTCACACTTGGCAGGGTCGCCGTCCGTGGGTTCCTCTGTCCCTCTGTCCCCCTGTCCCACCTCCATCCTCTCTCCTCACCAATATAATCCCGCCTCCTTTGGCATTTCCCAGGGTTCTTGGTTGCCCTTGCCGGTACTACTGTACTTTTGCAGAGGCTGCTCTGCAATGGAATGGAAGCCAAAGGAACAACCCTTAGAAATGCAAGCTGGTGCAAAAGCTTAGACACCACAGGACGCGTGCACTGAGAAAAACTGGCATTTATGAAATAGGAATTGATTTGTTAACTTAAAGATACAATTTGCTTCATTGAAAGTTCCTAAATATTTTGTAAGCTGGCTTCTGACTTGTAGGATCAGATCCCTTTTTCTAAAACTTTTTTGCAGTGTACGAAAAGTATGGAAAGCAGGAGGACAAGGAGGTACACATACACACCGGTAACTGCAAGGAAATTGAATGAAAAGCCAGACACAAAACCAAAACAAAGCGAGAAGAGCTTCCCCAATGGGTTTTCAGTTTTCAGTTTACAGTGCGAAAATGGGAGAAAAAGTGAACCGGCGGTTGGAAAAACTTTTGTCATTATGCAGGCAGTGCTTTCTCTAAATTTTCCACCCGCCCTCCGCTTCCTGCCCCCCATCAAACAATTTCCCCTGCCTCGCTTATCTGGTGAATTGTCAAAAACTTTTTGCCATCACTTTTCTCTCGTGTAAAAATAACTGGCCAGAGCAAAGGAACAAAATTCAATAAAACAAAAACATCTCCCTGAAACCATGAAACAAAGCACTGAAAGCACTCCCCATAGAAAAAGAAAAACCCACTCTAATGCAACCCCAAAATAGGCAAATGAAGCCAATAAATGTGTGCCGTGAAGAGCCACCGAAAATTGACAGGGGAAATGTGTGTTTTTAACACGGTTCATTTACCAAATTGGGCCTAATTTTTGTGGTCAGGTCCTGGAAAATGGGGTCAGCTGGAAATAGGGTTTGGCCGGTGGACGGATTACACTGAAACGACTGGGGGTGGTGTCCTAAATTAGCTGGCAATTAATTAGGCAAACAGACGCACCGAACGCAAATCCATAATGTTATAAACATAATATGTCATAAGCAGCCTTATATCTCGCTTTAAGTTTGCGTGTTTTTATTTATTTGGAATGGGTGGTGGGGAGTGCTGAGAATGAACCTTGAAGGTGGCGATGGATGGTGCAATTTACATTGTTCACTAAGCTGGGGTGCAGAGGCGAGTCATGCAACTTTGGAATCTCATTCTCGGCAGCTCTAACTCAACTCTTTTCCTACCTCATTCGATTCAATCTCGCTTCAGTTGCAATTGCAGCCACAGAAGGTTGCAAATTGCATAATTCAGAAACTGCCACAAAGGGTTAAAGCCTTCGACAACGCGACAGAGTATTAAAGTTACAGTAATGTTTTTGTAATGGGATTTAAAACTTGTTAATTAAGAAATTACCAACGTTGCATTACATTATCTTCATATACACAGTGTGGGAAATGGAAGTAATACTCCGTTGTTCAGAGGGTTCTTTGGAGAGCTAAACGCTTGATAGACAGAAGCTCGATGGGATGTCCATACCAAACCTATGTTAATAATGCCCAACGACATTGCCCGCAGGCTCATTAGGTACATATGTATATGTACATATAAATATCGATCGGGGATAAGGAGGCGGCATCTGGAGGAGGAGTGCCTCAAGTGGGGCAGTGTAACCCACCCATTATCGTTGTTGTATGTTATGTGATTTGAAAGCTTCGCCTGCCGCATGTTTTGCCCTCTCTGGTTTTGTGTTTCGGGTTTGTTTCGCCGTGGGTTACACAAACATTTCAAGTTGTTCCACAGGGTTTTTTTTTGTCGGTTGGCTGTCCGGACAAGTGGACAAAGTGGTCCGCAAGTGGTTGCATGGCCATTAGAGAGGTGTGGGTTGAACTCTGGGCGGGAATAGGGGAACACTGGCCCGGTGGACCACTGCAGCTGTGGCCACCTATCAATTATTTAAATGCAACTGGCGTAATCATTGGCATCTCTTGTGGAGCTGTATATAATAATTATATGAACGTTTTCTGGGTGAGTAGAAGTTCGAAACAGTGTCAATATCTTGCAACTACAATATGCAAAGTCTTATTAAATCTTACTATATGGGCAATCGACAGTAAGTCTAATCAAGTTCAAGTTTTTCCTACATGTAATACCACAATTTCTATGCCAAATTTGACCGACGAATCAAACTGCAATCTGGGTTCAGTGAACCCCGTAAAGATCAAATAAAAATCAAGCTCTAAATGGCCACATTAGGCTTAGCTAATATCGCTTTTCCTCAGACAATAAAAGCCGAATGGCCCCAAGCCATGAACGAATCATGATCATTGATCAACCGAAAATCCAAGACCCAAACGCGCACACAGTTTAGATGCCTTATATGGCGGTTCGCCAAACGGCAGTCTCATAAAAAAAGTAGAAAAAATGGATGAATAAATAAAGGCGACATTTTGCGGCGACTGTTAATATCAGTATAGATACTACATATATAGACCTATGGCTATTGTCATTGGTTGCTGTTGGCTATGGGTTTCCATTGAAAAGTCGAGCGAAAATGCCAGAGATCCAAGATCATATGTCCCCAAAAAGTGGCTCCCAAAAGAGTCGTGTGCTAAGCTTGCGCCAAATCAAGTGACGCAAGAGATAAAGTCAGGGGTATCTATATTTTTGGGGGCTACGGGGAATTCCTAAACTTGATTTCGCCAGCTGCGCGTGGGCCCCAAGAAAAAAGATACAAAAACAAACGGAAAAACATACCACTCCAGCGTTCGGAGAGATCTGTGATCTCGATTTCGTTCGATGTAGTTGAGTTTTTGCCGGTCTCTGCATTGCAAAAGTTTTCCATAAATGCGAAAAGTATAATACAATATATCTGCGATTAACATAAAATACAGATTTAAACGAAAACAGTCTCTGACTGCTTCTATAATTAAGAACAATCTCTTGAATTGCTATACTCTTGTATGTCTGCATTTGATTAATTTAATTCACACAAATCTGCGATCTGGATTTCGGTGGAAATAGGTGAGACAAGATTCAGAAGTAAACTTAATAGCATAAATGTGAAGCAATAAATTCAAGCCTTTCAACTTTGGGCATTAGTTTGAAAAGCTAAATGCTCTCATCTGACTAACAGATTAATGTACTTTTAAAGCCCACAGATGTCAAGATTTGCCTTAAACAAAACGTTATAATTTGAAACAATAAATAAAAGTTAAAGCTGTTGGCACATAATCAAGATTAAAACTATTTCATGTTTGATCTATCATCTGAGTTTCTATATGATTGTTTCTTCGATGCAAATCACTTTTTTGAATAACTCGTTGCATTTTCAGGGACATTTAATCCGCTGCAAAAGTTTTTCATAAACGCCAAAATGGTGAAACTATATATTCAAGGGGTAGAGCTAACTTTTGGCCATTCAAAACGATTAGCATAATACCCAGATTTGCATGAAAATTAACGCATTTGAATGTTCAATCTGTCAAACGCTATACGACTTTGGCTGTTTCTTTAATTAAGAATAATTTGTTGAATAACTTTTTGTGCCTGCATTTGACTAATTAAGTTTATGCAAATTGCGCTGGCGTGGGCGAAAGTTTTATGACGCCGGAAAAAATCTGGACATTTTATGAGTTTTAAAGTCGCCGACAAATTGTCGATGGATATGGTGTGGAAATAAAAATTGAAACATTAAAGTGAAGCAACTATAAATAAATATACACAGAAGTCGTAAAACAAAGGCAGGCACTTCTTCTTGTTGTGTTTTTCTCCAAACTCCCCTTATTGTATCTTTTGGGGCGCCCTTCTTTAGCGCACTGGAAAAAATGTTACATCCGGTTTATCATTTTAGAAGTTCCCCTATATTAATAGAATATAATATAGACTACCATTCATTATCCAAATAAATATTATTTCATACAAGGCTTTAAAATTTGATAAGCATCAGATGGCAAATTTTTTCTCGGTGTATTGGGGAATGACATGAAGCGCAACTGTTTCTGCAAGACAATGAAGGAGCAGAAAGAGAGAGAGGAAGAAGAAGACGAAGGAAGAGCCAGAGGGAGAGGGAGTAGAGAATAAGGAGCACAACAGAGGGAAGTCGTTGAAATTAAATA